AGATAATAATTTAAATATTTTATAAATATTAATAAATTATTTTTATAATAAATTGAAAAAATTCGAATTGTTTCGTTACAGAAGTACAACTTATGTTTTAAAGAAAGATTTCTGGGGGTTATTGATGATGAAAATGAATTAAATCGAATATACAGAATGTCTGAAAAGTCAGTTAACCATTATAAAAACGAAATTGCGAACATTAATCAGTTTATTATAATTAATTTAATTAATTAAATGGCATTTTTATTCATGTTTTCATTAATTTCATCATCATCAAGTTTTGAATATAAACCACATGGAAAGAGGGGCATAAAGTGTTCAAAAAATTAGACGAAGAGGTCAAGAATACTTGAATTTATACAGAACCAATGTTATAAAATCTTATAATGTAATGGTAATTAAATTTAATATATGGCAATTTAAGAGGCACCGTTTAAGAGTGGGCCTCTCTGAAGTCGATAAAGGCCTGGACTAAATGGCTCTGTGGCATTTTATGATAAGGGATCGGCAGGACCCAGATATCTAGAAGAATTATAGTCCACTAAGAAACTTTGATCTGATAATGAAGGCTTTATACTGGGTATTCGAAACGGGACCCACCACCGGCCCTTTAACAGGAATATTAAGAAAAACGCGATAAAAGCTATTGGAATATCAAAACAAAGGAAACAAGACAGGAAATTTGAATGAAATTAACTTTTTAAACTAATTATAATTATATATAAACTGCTAAAAGTATATTTAATTAGATTATAATAGGATAAAGGAAGAAAAATCCAGGAAGAAGCTAATTATTTTAACAGAAATGACTAGATATTAGTGCTTTAAATTGAAATGTGGGAAGAGATGATTTATGAATAAAGGAGTAATGATGATGCTGATGTATTTATTCAATAGAAATTCAAACAAAATTGTTTACTTAGAAGTTCAAATAAACTTCAGTAACATTCAGATTTTTAAAAATAAATCTATAAAAGAAAGATAAAGTAGAGAAATAAGTTTAATTAATTTTCATTTAGAAACGAGAAGAGAAATAAGAATAGACAATCTGAATTTGTTGACTCGAATTTCTAACTTAGTATTTTCAATAGTCGATTGAAATCGTTGACATTTCTAAATAAACTAACCTCTCTCATTGATACTTCAATTTAATTTAACTGTAGGAGAAAAAAAACAACATAGAGTATACATTAATTAATTTATGAGTTTGAAAAATTCAGAATTTTAATGAATTTTCTTTGGTTTCTTCAACAAAAATAAAATATTAGTTTTACAAGAGAAATGAATTGGTTTTGCATTTCTTTTGGAAAATACACTTAGTAGATAAGGAGGAAAATTGAATATAGAAATAAACTTTTGTTTGTTAATTATTCAACGATAAAAATTGTTTCAAATTAAAACTTGTTTGTAACTATTTAAGATTTTCTTAGTTTACTATGTAAACATACTGACTAAAGGACTCAAGTACGAACCACATGATGAGTGATGAATCTAAAAACACTTTAAAATGAATTCCAATTTAAAGTGTTTTTAGATAAAAATGATTAATAAACTAAACGCTAATAACAGTAAAACCTTTATTCAGTCTGGCCACACTGAAGATATGACATATATCTCCCTGTATCTTCTCGCTCCTTTGATCTTTAACCACCAAAATTTAATAGCATTAATTACCCTAATACATTAACTATCTCGCAAAATTTCAAATATTTTCGACAAAAAGCACATGATTTATTAAGCTTCGAAGAGGAAACAAAATCGTACCACACACGCACACACATACATACACACAAATATACATACTTACATCCATACAGAGAGAAAAAATTTTATTCCAAATTTTAAAGTTCATAAAAATTATTAATCTTAATTAACACACAATAATTTTATCACAATATTGTGCACAAATTAATAAAAATTCTATGTACTTCAAAGTGTATTAAATGTTCTTAAATACATTATAATTTATCATTTAAATTCCTTAATTTATACTTCATCTCAATTACCCTTAATAATTTTATTAATATTGAGCATACATCAGAGCCAGATTTAAACTTCTGGCCCTACGCTGTGACATACAAGAGGCCCTTCCCCTTCACCAAATAATAATGGGCAATATATACAAGCCGTAATAATGGGCATTAATTCAAATTATATACAAGCTGTATTTAAGATCCTATGTTAAAATATACAAGAGGCCCTTCCCCTTCACCAAGTAATAATAATGGGCAATATATAAAAAATGTTTTTAATGCCCTACGTAACGCTAAAGCCCTAAGACGTATTGTAGTTTATAGATAAATTCAACTCTAGCATGCACATAAAATAAAATTACAGTACAACTTTTTTTTAATCTATAAACAAACAAATTAATTAATTTTAAAACTTAAAAAAAACTCCCTGTAACCTCTTAAAATAACTTTTTAATATCCTAAACTTACAAGACAGGAAAAAAAATAATAAAAATATTGATGAAAAATATTAAAATATTAGTTAAACGTAAATTAAACATGTCATTTTAATTTGTTAAACAGTAAATCACTTTAAACATAATTAAGAAAAAGAAAATTTGAACTTATATTAAGTTAAAAATATTTTCTAAACTTATAAAGTCATTGTAAAAGTTTTATATTAAATTTGCATAATATAAAAGTTATTTTTTTTTTCTTTTCGGCTCTTCAGAAAGATTCTTTGTAGTTAGATAGAGTTTAAAATATGTAATCATGATGACATCAACGGCAAAGAATAAAAAGTAATAATAGAATTTTGTTATATAATAACTACATTTTTCAAATTTTTATATAACTTTTTATGATGCTATCACCTTTCATTGTAACTGATGAGAGTGCTCTACTTTATAATGAGATTGAACACGAAGAAAAATAGCCTCAAGTTAGTAAACTTTATCTTTCAATATAGTTATTAATTAAATTCAAAAGGATAGTTTTTCTTTTTTTTTTTATTGGTGTAATTATATCTAGTTAAAGAGGTGTAATATAACACGCTTATAACGAATATACATACAGAATAATTTTATTGTGTATGTTTGTCTGCCTGTCTGCCCGTCCTTCAGGATGAATTTCACCTTTTTGGTTAGACACGCGATCCCTCCATCACAGGGGGATTAAAAATTTAATTCTTTTTCTATAGAATAATTCTTTTCCCATAGATAATTCGACTTTATGAGGAGTAGTCGCTTTGGATGGGAAACCATTAATGATGTTTTTTACAGGGAATTTCCCTGAATTCGAACCAAAAAAGAGAAAAATTATTGTCTCTACTGGATGAAGGTTACTGACAATAATAATAATCTTATATAAGAAACAAATAAAAGCATATTTATGAATATTAGAGATGAATTGTTACATGTAATATATATTAAATA